GGCAATAAATAATTTTTTTGCACGTATACACATACTTGTCTTTATGGACCATTTTATTCAGGATCTGTTACAAGATCCTGAGTATAAACATCAAATTACTTGGCAGAGGAACTCCATTCTGGTGCGATTTTGAGTCCAGTGGGTTTTCAGCACATTCATTTGAATGGGCTGAAATTGCATTGCACTACATCCAAAGTAGTGAATGCACTCATTTAAAAAACACTGCAACCTTACCACATGGTTCTTTGGTACCAAGCAATCCAGTGCAGGAAAGTTAACTGTGTTTGCCATCTACATCTGGGGTGTCATTAACTTTACACTGACACCCACTACAGACACTAGGTTTTGAACACAGTGCAGGAAATGTGCATGGAGCATGGGCTTCCCCCGCACGGTGTTATGGCATTTACTGATCCTTACGCAGCAGACTACACTGCACCAAAGACAATGCATCTATATTCAGATCAAAAAAAATAATGTGGCTTTTTACACTCCCAAGTGCAAGTGGCCTAAAGTCGGCCATAAATGGATTGAATCTTGACTGGTTCAGCAAGATTCGATCCATCTATGGGCAGGCTGGTCATACCGTAGTTGATCCATCAATGGACTTCAGTACACAGCCTGTCAGATTGTTTTATGTGAACACAGCTGGAAGCTCTATCGCCAGAAGTGATCATTGTGTTCTGCCGGCAGGGAAGTCTCCCCCACCCGTGGTGGAAGGAAAGACAACTGCATTATCTATGGGCTGTTAAGTGTTATTAAAGTTCTGTTTTTTTTAAAATTTAACCACTTCCCAACCGTGTTATAGACGAAAGACGGCTACAGCGCAGTGGTCTAGTTCTGGGAGGGCGTCCATGGACACCATCCCAGAATGAGCCGCCAGCGCTGTCGGTGATCGCTGTGTCCTACGGACGCAGCTGATCACGTAATAAGGTAAGAGGCCAATCACAGCAGGCCTTTTACTACGTGATCAGCTGTGCCCAATGACACAGATCACAATGTAAATACAGTTGACGGTTATCAGCTGCACTTTCCTCACGCTGTCACAGTGTGAGGAAAGTACTGTTGATAACTGGCAAATGTGACAGGGGAGATCTGCACTGATTATCAGTGTCACCCAGCTGTGCCACCAGTCAGTGCACATCATTGCTACATATCAGTGCCTCCTAATCAATGCCCATCAGCGCTACCTATCAGTGCCCATTAGTATTGCCCATCAGTGCAGCCTCATCAATGCACGTCACTGAAAGAGAAAAAAATTACCTGTTTGCAAAATTTTATAATAGAAACAAAAAAAAAAAACTTTTTTTTTTTGCTCTCATATTCATTTACAGTGCAAAAAATAAAAAACCCCAGTGGAGATTAATACCATCAAAAGAGCTCAATTTGTGTGAAAACAAATTATAAAAATTTCATATGGGTAAAGTGTTACATGGCTGCACAATTGTCAAAGTGCAACAGTGCTGAAAGCTGTAAATTGGCCTGGGCAGGAAGGGGGTAAAAGTGCCCAGTAGGCAAGTGGTTAAACAAACGTCAGACTATGTTCACTGCATTTTTGGAATTACAGAAATGCACTACAGTCCATTTAACATGATTGCCTTTGAGTCACGTTCACATCCATGCGTTTTCAGGAAAGTGTCAGGGAATTTTCTGCCCACAGCAGACTGCATTTTAGTTCCATAGATTTGAATGGAAACGCATGAAAGACATGTACATGCATTTTGGTGCATTCCCTGCATACCAGCAGACCCCCCCCCCCCCCCAGCAACATTAACATATTCCAAAAATGTGAAATGCAATAATAATAATAAAACAAAAACGCAAACTGCACCGCAAAACGCATCTACCACAGCCTACATAGGTGTGAACCTAGCTTCGATGATTCTCTTCTCAGGTCCCTCCACTGGAGCGCCCGGCCCCTCCCCCAAGCTGAGCGTCCCCAGAGCAAGCCACTTGCTCTGGGGGCACTCATGCATGCTTGCTCCTGAGCCCCACTTCCCCATCACTGGCTGTGAATAACAGCAGTGGGCAACAATGGCTTCTGCTGCGTCTCAGCCAGCGATGAGAGCGAGCTGGGAGAGCCGAGGCTCCCATGCACATTGCTGATTAAGATTAGGCTACTTTCACGCTGATCCGTAGTTGTGGTTTTTTTTTTTTTATAACAGACATGTGACTCAAACGTACCATGGGTGCGTTTTCCATTCATTTCAATGGGGAGGTGCAGCTTTTTTTTTTTACCGTACCAAACCTGCACCAAAAAACACAGTAAGCACAATTTTAAAAACCACACTGGGCCTGGAACAGATCAGTGTGAAGAGTTCCATAGATATACAGGTGAAACTCGAAAAAATTAGAATATCGTGCAAAAGTTCAATTATTTCGGTAATGCAACTTAAAAGGTGAAACTAATATATGAGATAACTCATTACATGCAAAGCAATATAGTTCAAGTCGTGATTTGTCATAATCGTGATGATTACGGCTTACAGCTCATGAAAACTCCAAATCCACAATCTCAGAAAATTAGAATATTACATGCAATCAATAAAACAAGGATTGTACATAGAACAATATCGGACCTCTGAAAAGTATAAGCATGCATATGTACTCAATACTTGGTTTGGGCCCCTTTTGCAGCAATTACTGCCTCAATACGGCGTGGCATGGAAGCTATCAGCCTGTGGCACTGCTGAGGTGTTATGGAAGACCAGGATGCTTCAATAGCGGCCTTCAGCTCTTCTGCGTTGTTCGGTCTCATGTCTCATCTTTCTCTTGGTAATGTCCCATAGATTCTCTATGGGGTTCAGGTCAGGCGAATTTGCTGGCCAATTAAGCACAGTAATCCGACGGTCATTGAACCAGGTTTTGGTGCTTTTGGCAGTGTGGGCAGGTGCCAGGTCCTGCTGGAAAATGAAGCCAGCATCCCCATAAAGCTCGTCTGCGGAAGGAAGCATGAAGTGCTCCAAAATCTCCTGGTAGATGGCTGTGTTGACCCTGGAAGCACAGTGGACCAATACCAGCAGATGACATGGCTCCCCAAATCAACAGACTGTGGAAACGTCACACTGAACTTCAAGCATCTTGCAGTGTGTGCCTCTCCATTCTTCCTCCATACTCTGGGTCCTTGGTTTCCAAATGAGATGCAAAAGTTGCTCTCATCAGAAAAGAGGTCTTTGGACCACTGAGCAACAGACCAGGTCTGTTTTTCTTAAGCCCAGGTAAGACGCTTCTGACATTGTTTGTTGTTCAGGAGCAGCTTGACAAGAGGAATACAACATTTGAAGCCCATGTCCAGGATCCGTCTGTGTGTGGTGGTTCTTGATGCACTGACTCCAGCCTCAGTCCATTCCTTGTGAAAGTCCCCAACACTTTTGAATGGCCTTTTCCTGACAATCCTCTCCAGGCTGTGGTCATCCCTGCTTCTTGTGCACCTTTTTCTTCCACACTTTTCCCTTCCACATAACTTTCTATTAATGTGCTTTGATACAGCACTTTGGGAACATCCAACTTCTTTTGCAATTACCTTTTGAGGATTTCCCTCCTTATGGAGGGTGTCAATGATGGTTTTCTGCACAACTGTCAGGTCAGCAGTCTTTCCCGTGATTGTGATTCCTACTGAACCAGACTGAGAGACCATTTAAAGGCTCAGAAACCCTTTGCAGGTGTTATGGCTTAACTAGCTGATTAGAGTGGGACACTTTGAGCCTAGAGTGTTGCACCTTTTCACAATATTCTAATTTTCTGAGATTGTGGATTTGGGGTTTTCATGAGCTGTAAGCCATAATCATCACAATTCTGACAAATCACAGCTTGAACTATCTTGCTTTGCATGTAATAAGTCTCATATATTAGTTTCACCTTTTAAGTTGCATTACTGAAATAAATGAACTTTTGCACGATACTCTAATTTTTCGAGTTTCACCTGTACACGGTCACATGTTTTTCTTCCACTTTTTAATGTAAAAGCAAAACAGATTAGTGTGAAAGCAGCCTTGGGGGGGGGGGGGGGCAGCACACACAGGTGGTTTTCTACCTTCATGCTTACAATGGTAAAACAACCTTCCACCTTTACAATCACTTCACGGCTTCACACCTTTTCTGTGGGTGAAGACTTGTTCCACAACTCCTGAACCAGGCACAGTTCATGCTCAAGGCAGCCCAATGCAATGGACACAAGAAAACACTACGGTGCATCACAGGGTGCTAAACAAAAACTACACAGGTGCATTTTTTTGTCCATGCAAATGTACTGTGATTTATATAGTAGTTATTTATACAGCTCTGATCGTTTACAGAGTTCTCTACGTATACTACATTCACATCAACCTCTGCCCTCATGGAGCTTGCCAGAACAATGCACACATCTGACAAGGGCTCACACAATGGGGGTGATTTACTAAAGGCAACAGACTGTGCACACTGGAAGCTCAGTAGTGAAATGAGTGGGAAGCTCTGCTGATTTCCATCATCCAACCATGTACAAGCAAACACTTTTTTTTTTTTTCCTTGCTCATGATTGGATATTCTTCACAAAGTGAAGCTTCACCACATTCATTCAGCTCTGGGGAAGAGGAGTGCAGCTACATGTGCCATATGTATTTGCCTTTAGTAAATCCACCCCACAGAGTTCTCACTAAACTGGATCTGCCTTAGTGGAGAACCAAACCACCCCACACACAGCCGCCCGCCCTTCATTGCAATCATTTCCTGGTTTCCATGGACACCATTCCCCCTACACACGTGAAGCTGACTGAAACCACCTGAAAAGTGAGGCATGTATGGCCTGCATTGTTCTGGGGCAGACATCACATTACACACACTCCATCCCAGTCACATCGTTCAGCACCCATTCCAGCGCGTTGGCGTGCCCTATTTCATATAGACGAAGCGATACCATGATACCGCACACATCGATTACCGGCCACACACACACCTTCCTGTTCATAGCACCAGACCTCACAGGGAACCCTTCTAAAAAGATCTCCCCATACTCAACTCACCACCCTGCGTTCTCCAGGCGCGAACTCCACAAAATGGCAACCGACTCCGAGCAGGCCAGGGAAGGAGAAGGGGTAAATCCCGACACGCTGCAGCCTGTGATTGGATGAACCCGAGTCACTGCCGTGTGTCAATTGGTTCACGCGGTAAACGCCTTCGTCGAGTGCACTGTGATTGGCTAATCTAACCGGAAATGTTTCTGTACTTGACCGCTTCTACAGACAAACCTTTTGTTTCCTTTCGTGTTCAACGGCCATTTTGTCACTAGGCAGCGCCTATTGTACACTAAGAATGTCTATTGTAGTTTTATAAAGGGGAAGTTGGAAGCTACTGATAAATAGTATTCTTGTCACGTAGAGTTACTGCACATTTAATAAGAGTTTTTTTTTCCCATTAGAGCAGGGGTCTCCAAACTGGCCTGCATGTGGCCCTTTGCTTGCCTTTATCTGGCCCTTGGGACACTTTCCCTTCCATACACACCAATGATGGGGTGCTATTATTCCCTCTGACACCAGCTATAGGGCACTGTTCCACTGACACCAGCAATAGGGCACTGTTCCTCCTACAGACTCTGGCAACGGGGTACTGTTCCTCCTACTGACACCAACGATGGGTTCTATTACTCCCACTGACACCAACGGTGGGGTGCTATTACTCTCACTGACACCAACAATTGGGCGCTGTGCCTCCCACTCACAACAATAATTGGGTACTGTTCCTCCCACTGACCCCAATGATGGGGCATGGTTCCTCTCACTGACACCAGCAATGGGGGCACTGTTCCTCCCACACACCCGGCTATAGGGCACTGTTCCTCCCACTGACACCAGTAACGGGGCACTGTTCCTCCCACTGACACCAGCAACGGGCACTGTTCCTCCCACTGACACCAGCAACGGGGCACTGTTCCTCCCACTGACACCAGCAACGGGGCACTTTTCCTCCCACTGACACCAGCAACGGGGCACTGTTCCACTGACACCAGCAACAGGGCACTTTTCCTCCCACTGACCCCATCTATAGGGCACTGTTCTTCCCACTTACACCAGCGATGGGGCGCTATTCCTCCCACTGACGCCAACGATGGAGCGCTATTCCTCCCACTGACAATAACGATGGGGTACTATTCCTCCCACTGACTCCAAGGATGAGGCATTGTTCCTCCCACTGACACCAGTGATAGGGCACTGTTCCTCCCACTGACACCAGCGATAGGGCACTGTTCCTCCCATTGACACTAGCAACGGGACACTGTTCCTCCCACTGACACTGGCAACGCAGTACTGTGCCTCCCACTGACACCAGCCACAGGGCATTGTTCCTCCCACTGACACCCAGTGACGTGCCACTGTTCCTCCCACTGACACCAGCGATAGGGCACTGTTCCTCCCACTGACACCAGCAACGGGGTACTGTTCCTCCCACTGATACCAGAAATGGGGAACTAATTATCCCACTGATACCAGAAATGGGAAACTAATTATCCCATTGACACCAGCGATAGGGAACTGTTCCTCCCACTGACACCAGCAACGGTATACTGTTCCTCCCACTGATACCAGAAATGGGGAACTAATTATCCCACTGACACCAACGATGGGGCACTGTTCCTCCCACTGACCACCAAGCCTAGGGTATTGTTTACTCCCAGTGATGCCAGAACATTTTCTACTCCCACTGGCCACAATCCTGCCCCCCTAAAGTTTGAAGGGCAGTAAACTGATCCTTTGTTTCTAAAGTTTGGAGACCCCTGCACTAGAGGAAGATACTACACTAGAGCTACCACATGGTTAATTTTTTTAGTAGTTTCTTCAGTGTTCACAATGAATTCCTAGGTGACCCGGTTATAAAGCAGCGCTATAGTCTTACCATCTCAGTGGTGTCTCTGTAGAGGTCCAAAAATGCCTCCTTCACACCAATGGCTGCGTTATACTGAGACCATCATTGTGCACTGTGAAGAGATTGGTGTGGAGAGATTTACTTTACTGAAATGTTATAAAGACATTAAGGCTCCATGCACACTAGCGGTTTTTTTTTAAGCTCAAAAAACTCTGGATAAAAAATGCTGGTAATAGTGTTTTAGTAGCATTTAGGAGTATTAGCATTTGTGCGGTACATGTTGAAAGAAAAAAAAATAGAAAAAAGGTGTTAGGTGTTACAAATGGAAGTATATATACTGGAATTTTTTTTTTTTTTTTCAATACTAGTAATGGCGGTGATCAGCGACTTATAGCGGGACTGTGGCGGGCATTCTGACACTGGGGGGAACTGACTTGGTGTAACTGACATCTCCAGTTACACCAGTACAGTGATAAGTGCTATTAAAAAGCACTGACACTGTACTAATGGCACTGGGTAGGAAGGGGTTAACATGTGGGGCAATCAAAGAGTTAACTGTGTGCTGTGTGAGTGCTTTACACTGTAAGCACACTGCTTTGTATGGCTCTGCTATACAGAGCCATACACAGCAGTGTGCAGGAGCTGACGGGAGAGATCTGTGTTGTTTATACATAGGTCTCTCCCTCTTTGGACATACTCTGCAATCACTGGGTGCCAGCGAGAAATCACCATCTGGGACCTGGTGATTGATGGCCAAGGCCGCGAATGATGGTGTGGGTAGGGCGCACGCAAGCCTACCTGGAACTGAAAAAACGTGTATATATATATATGTATATATATGTTATTTTGCGCATTCCGTGCCGCCCTGTAGCAGTATTTCTGCTATAAGGCGGTGTGGAAGCTGTTACTTATTCTTTATTCACTGCAGCATGTTGCAGTGTGGTGTACGGCATTGCAATATGCTGCACTGAAACAATAATAGTGCATGTCCTACTTTTTTTCAACACAGTGTTGTGAACTGAATTTGTAGGACGGGCCCTCAGATTCAAAGTTCTGCAATAAGCTTTTGATGTTCATGTTGATGGGGACTAGAGCCTCTTTTCCACAATTCTGGCCAGTGGTTGTGGGGGTCTTATCGAAATCTGCAAACCCCCTTTAACAAGGTGGCCCCCAGATCCCAGCCCCCCCCCCCCCAAGTGATTATTGGGTATGGAAGGGCCTGCTATGGATTGGAGGGGATCCCCATGCAGTTTTTTTAAACATTTTTTAATGCCGGTAATTGTTTTATTTATATTTTGCAGTCAGCGGGCAATCCCACTGACAGCAGATGAGTCATGGTTGTTAAGGATGAATGAATTTGAATGATTATATTCATTTGGATGCTTTAAGCATCCAAATGAAAAAAATATAATTTCATTATTTCATTAATATTTATTTCGGATTCATTGAAATTCGTTACTGTTGTATTCGGAAATTCAGATACATCTAAATTTTCAAATACAACAATGTCATCTGAATTTCGATCTGAAACAAAATGAACAGCATATTTCTATTACTAGAGCAGCCAGAATCTGGAGCAGCTGTACATGGCAACCAATCAGCGTCTAACGTTCATTTTCAAAGCATAAAGTTGAACCAAACCGTTTAAAAAAAAAAAATTCCTGGCAGCCAGGAATGTAACTGTCAAATTTGCTTGTGTTCTCAACCAAACTGTCAAACCATCAAATGGCTGGTGTCGTAACTGATCACGTGCAGCAGCCTCATGGCAGTTGCAGATCACAGAGAGGCTAAGATGGCAGCTTCCTTGGCTGGAAAGGAGAAGATAGTTTAGTTCCACTTTAACTGAATAAGCTGACGATAGAAGCAGATTGGTTGCCATGCACAACTGCCAGACAAATTACTTGCAAGATTTTACAGAAACAGAAACTAAGAAAAAATGTTTGTTTTTTTCCCTAGTCTTTTTTTTTTCTGTTTAGCAAAAAATAAAAACCTAGTGGTAATTAAATACCACCGAAAGAAAGCTCTATCTGTCTCAAAAATGATTAAAATATCTTTTGGATACAGTGTTGCATGACCGAGTAATTTTCATTTAACCACTTGCCGCCCAGCCACCGCATATAAACGGCGGCAGGGCGGCACTGGTAGGCAAAAGCACATTTTAAAAACGTCTGCCTTCAAAACAGGTAGGGGGCGCGCTCCTGCCCTAACTGTCCCGCGGGTGTCAGCAGCGGGTGTCAGCCGACGGGTCACGGACGGTTTTCACTGGCCGTTTTCCCGCAATTGACGGTGATCGCTGACACAGAGCAGGGCTGCATTGTTTACACACAGCCCTGTTCTGTGTCAGTTCTCTGACAGCTTGTGAGAAGCTGCAGAGTTTCTCTCCCTCAATCTGCTCCCCCCCCTCCAGTACACACCCTCGCCCCCTAGTAAAACACTCCCCTTACACAGCAAATTCTAAAAATGTTAACCCCTTCCTCCCCAGTGACATTAGTACAGTTTCAGTGTTTTTTTTTCACTGATCACTGTATTGGTGTCACTGGGGATGTCAGTGACCCCAAGTCAGTTCCCCCCCCCAGTGTCAAAATGTCCGCCGCAGTCCCGCAGTCCTGCCATAAGTCGCTGGTCGCCGCCATATGTCACTGATTGCCGCCATAAGTCGCTGATCGGCGCCATTATTAGTATAAATAAAAATTAAAAATTCCAGTATCTTTCCCGCCATTTGTAAACACTATAACTTTCACGTAAACCAATTAATTTACACGTATTGGGATTTTTTTTAGCAAAGACATGTCGCAGAATGCATTTTGGCAGAAATTTATGACTAAATCAGATTTTTGCATTTTTTTTTACTGGACATGTTTTATAGCAAAAAGTCCAAAATATTGTTTTTTTTTTCCTCAAAATTGTCAGCCTTTTTTTTTATAGCGCAAAAAATAAAAACCGCACAAGCGATCAAATACCACCGAAAGAAAGCTCAATTTGTGGGGAAAAAAAGGAGGTAAATTTCATTTATGTACCGTATTGCATGACCGCGCAATTGTCTGTTAAACTAGCGCAGCGCTGTATAGCAGAAAAATGGCGTAAATTGCAGTATTTATACCATAGTTTGTAGACGCTATAACTTCCACACAAAGCAATCAATATACACTTATTGGGATTTTTTTTACCAAAAAACATGTAGCAGAATACATTTTGGCCTAAATTTATAACCAACTTTGAGTTTACTATATATTTTTTATAGCTGAAAGT